AGGAAGAGCGCAATGATGGTGCCAACTTGGGCCAGTGAAGCAACGTCCTCCACAACTAGACTGAAGAACAAAAGGACAGCAACTCATCTGTTCCCTCCCCCAATTCCCCAATAAAATCTTTTAAAAAAAAGAAAGGTCCCCTTGAGGCTTGCGGGCTCCTGTGGCTGTAAGAATGTATGCTCCCCATCTTGCATGAGTGTTAGGGATAACTGTGATGTGAGCTGAGACTTGCTGAACTCAGCTGTGTGCCAGGCACTAAACCAAGCAAGTTTCTTACATGGGGGGCTCATCTAATGCTCAGCAGGGTCCTGGCAGGCCAGCACCGTGACTCACATCTTACAGAGCAGTGACACGAATGGGTTCATAGACGTGAACTCACAGAATCGAAGTCACTGGGTCAAGTTCAGGACCCTGGACAATGAGGAGCTGGTTTTAGATCCAAGACCCCAGGCTGTGGAAGCCGCTGGTCCTAACCTCTGAGGTGTCCTGTCCCCTAAATCCATCACTTTTTAACACATCTTGCCTTCTGTTGTAGTTTCAATATGTCCTGCTTTTCCAACTAGATTATAACATTCTGAAGGGCGGGACTGTGTCTGATTTATCTTTTAAATTTTTCACTGAGGTATAACTTACCACCACAAACACAAATTACCAGGTGTGTGTGCATGTAATCACCCAAGTCAAGGAATTTAGAAATTCTATCACCAGAGAATTTTCCCCTGAGCTCCACCCGAGTCCAAACGGTGACAAAGATAACCACTCTTCTGACTTCTATCACCATAGATTATTTTTGCCTGTTCTTGAACATCCTATATATGAGATTGTACAGCTATATTAGTATTTTATTTCCTTATGTGACTTAGCACACAGTCATTTAGGGTTTACTTAACTTGCTTGAGAAATGTTGACTAAATGTCTAAGGAATGCACGAAGGGCCCTTACTCCTGGTGGCATGCAAACATTTTCATAAAGATAAACCTAGATCTAAACCTGTGCACATATAACGTATTGTTACTATATAATATATATTGTACATACATGTTGATGCGTATATGTATGCACACCTGAAAAGCTATGCAGTAGTTCATCTCCATAACAGCACTCATCACACTGTTTTTGGGGTCTGTTTAATTGCCTCCTCTACCATCAGTGAGCCCAAATTTCATATTCAGTGAATGTTTGTAGAATGAGTGAATAAACCATTCACTGTTTCCAGGTACTTATTTTCTATTCTTAACGTCTTCTTTGAAGGGTTGCTTTTGCCTTTTTTCAACTGGATTACTTGTCTTGTATTACTGAATGGTAGGAATTCTTTGCAAACCTTCCATAGGAGTCCTTTGTCTGGTAGATGTTTTGCAAGTATAACTCCCAAGTCTATAGCTTGCTTATGCCTTTTTCTTAATTGTGTCTTTGATGGGCAGAAGTTTTTAATTTTAAAGAAGTCCAACTTATCAAATTTTTTTTGTGTGATTTTGCTTTCTGTGACCTAAGAAACTTTTGCTTACCCTAAAGTCCTGACACTATTCTTCTACATTTACATCTAAAAGGTTTATGCTTTTACCTGTCATTTACCAGAGGTAATGCTAAAGGTATTTGGTGAATATTTTCTTAATTTAGTTGTAACTTTTTAAAAAAATGCTTATGGTTACTTTCAATTCATGGTGAGTAATACTTGCTTTCCACTTAGGGAAGCAATTTTTGTTTCTTTTTCAAATAAACTTATTAAAGCTAAAATGAGTAAGAATGAAAGTCTTAATAGATAGATGGAAATTGACAAAAGTCATGGAGCTGATATGCGAATGAATGAAATCTGGAAAATGTTGAATTACTGAGTAAAGCAAGAAGCTTTAGCTTTTGATGATTCTGTCATCTGTCATCATTTTGATGACATCAATCGATTTTTTAATTGATAATTGAAAATAATTCCTCTATTAACTTTGTTCTTACGGCTTTGGCGTGGTCCTCTTTATGCCTAATTCTTTAGTCATATGTAGTCCAAGTCCCAGAGCAGGAAGAGGGAGACACAGCGTGAGCCGTGTCCGTGTCAGCATGTCAGTGGCCCCCCAGCAGCGATGGCGCTCACTCCGTACTCCTTAGGGACCCAGAGGATTTTGAAGTAGTATACAGCAGGTGTCCAGTACAACAGATGAGCCCCCCAAACATGCCTTTTCAACCCCTAATCATGGTGGAGCTCTGAGTGCCTCCCACACCACACTGCCACATGGCCATTTGGATCCTGAGTAAGAAAAAAGTTTCTTTATCCTTCCTTCTTTCCTCCTATCCTTCCTCCCTTCTTCCCTCCTTCTCTCCCTCCCTCACTCCTTTTTTTTTGTCTTACTCAATATAAACAGAAGTTATAATGACTATTGTCTCGCCTCAGTGGACATACTTCCATACCATACCCCATGGGGCGCATTCATACTGAAGATCAGGGAACACAGACTACCAAGAAAAAGATGCTGGAGGAAACAAAGCGTTACTGTTTAAAAACTCCAAGCAGTGTAACCCAAAGCCAAAATGCATTTAGATTTCCTAGTGCGTTTTAATGAAAAGGAAAAAAAAGCCCAAGATTTGGAATGATTTGTGTCCTTACATGGATGATGGGGCATGGGCTGTATAGAGTTTTAGTATTGGCCCTGTACATGAGATAATCACGGCTACTATTCAAAAGTATTTAAAACTGGTAAAACAATCTATCTCTTTTAAGTTTGGGCATCAAGCCAGGCGGTAAGAGGGCAGTTTTCTTGGATTGTCTTGGTCCCTGAAGGAGCTCTTTTATCAAATTGTACTTTGACATGATGCTCGTGGTGTGCATTGAAGGAAACTATATGAAACACCTGAACATAATTCACTTTTATGTTTTCTTTAGAGATGCTGTTGGAGGTAGCTCCATTACATCAGCCTAGCCCCCGGCCCCCGTGTGTGTGTGTGTGTGTGTGTGTGTGTGTGTGTGTGTGTGT